TATGTATGTATGTATGTATGTATGTATGTATGTATGTATGTATGTAACAAGATGTAAACATGAAGCTTTATGTATTTATCTGAAAGAAATTGAATGCATTTAAGATGATATTCGTTCTTCTGTTTTGTCCCTCAGGATCAGGAGGAACAGGCTTTCTTTGCTGTGTTTGATGGTCATGGCGGTGTAGATGCTGCCATTTACGCCGCCAACCACCTCCACGTGAACCTAGCTCATCAGGAATCCTTCAGCCAGGACCCCGGCGAGGCGCTCTGCAGAGCCTTCAAAGTCACAGACGAGCGCTTTGTGAAAAAGGCCTCACGAGAGGTAACCCTGCCCTAGAGGACCAGGCTCTCCATCCGAACGTACGGTAGCCTCTGGCCTTTGTGTGAAAAGCACAGGAAGTTCTAGAAGCTCAGCAAAGGCAACTTTTAACGTTGTGTTGACGTTAAAGTTTAGTAACACTTTTGTGGCCGTTTTCCTGCCTGTGACACTGAGACAAACTGTAGTTACTGACTGCTGCGAGCCGGATAATCTGACCGTCTGTGTGTGTGTTTGTGTGTGTGTGCGGCAGAATCTGCGCTGTGGTACCACAGGCGTGGTGACGTTCCTGCGGGGCCGGACGTTGTACGTGGCCTGGCTGGGAGACTCTCAGGTCATCCTGGTCCGGAGAGGGCAGGTGGTGGAGCTGATGAAGCCACATAAACCAGACAGAGAGGTGAAACACACACTCTCTACGTACTCGTGCCACTAAACTGTGACTGTTGTCTTTAATTCAGATCTGCTCTTACGATAAAATGTACCACTGAACACTTTTCGGTGGCGCTTTGATTCAGTCTGGACCAAATGCGTGGTGCCATATTTTTGGGAGGGATATGTGGTAAAATACTATCAAGCTCTGAGCTGTTGCCAGGCAGCACGCAGGGCCTCAAATAGACAATCGGTTGTAGCCAAAATGCATTTTGGCTCTTAACTTCTGGCTCAGTTAACGGCTAGTGGACATTTTTCTTTTTACTCTCTTGAATGAATGAATAATTTCAACCAATTTGAGATGACATGACACATTTTAAGATTAAGAGTGACAGTAAGCTGCTACATATTGCATAATGTCAGCAACAACACAAAAAAAGTCCAAAGTGTAATTAATGGTGGACTCAATGATGGATATGTGTTCAGTTCCTGGTGCTTCAGATAAACCCCAAATCAGAAGCCAGTATCAGAAGTTTGTGCTGATGTGCACTATATGGCTGCAGCTGTGCATTCTAACCAATCACCTGCACTTTGGACTCTCCAAGGACATTGTTCCTTCTTTTTCTCTTCGATTTGTAATTAATAACGTTTCTTTTTCATCAAACTGTATGCAAATGCCGTTATCTCACTGTTAACATTGCTAACGTGGCACGCCGTCCCTCCTGGCACATTTCCTGCCATTTTGAGTGTACGCGCTGTGATTCCAGTCCAAAACGGTTTTGCCGTGCTCCTAAAAACAGTATGTTGAGTGGCCCATCATTTTAAGTGCACAACAGAGGTAAGTAAAGCACCGTAATGAGTCATCTACTGCAGAGGAGAGAGGCATGAGATAATGGCCGTGTCTGTGTGTGTGTGCAGGATGAGAAGCAGAGGATCGAGGCTCTGGGAGGATGCGTGATCTGGTTTGGCACATGGAGGGTCAATGGCAGCCTTTCAGTATCCAGAGCAATCGGTACTTTTACTTCTGTTAGATGCATTTTTTCTTTCTACATTCACTTACATTAGTTATGAATGAATAAAGCATACATATATACAAACATTCCAGTTGTTTTAGCGGTCCTGGAACTAGCAGATTCTCCCTTTAAATGACCACATTTGCAGTATCACTCTGTCTGAATAACATGTGCTCCAACCCAAACTGTTTTGTTTCCATTTTTAAAAGTTTTTGCCAGTATTTTCCATTATTAAAATAGATTTTTAGTGTGTGTTTGAGCGGAAAGTGTTCGTATTTTGGCTCATAAAGTCACTAACTTGCCAAAAATATTTTTGAAAAACACACATACAAAGAAAAAACTTGAAAAGAAAAGTTCACCCACAAAATAAAATACGGATTTCTGTCCACTCGTGTCGACAGGCGACTCGGAGCACAAGCCCTACATCTGTGGGGACGCGGATCACAGCATCATCCCAATGGACGGCTCAGAAGACTACCTGATCCTGGCCTGTGACGGTTTCTGGGACACTGTGGGTCCGGACGAGGCGGTGCGTGTGGTCAGCGACCACCTCCAGGAGAACGCCGGGGACACCACCATGGTGGCCCACAAGCTGGTGGCCTCGGCCCGCGACGCAGGGTCCAGCGACAACATCACCGTCATCGTGGTCTTCCTGCGGGACCCGCGCTGCCCCCCCCCCACCTGCCCCGAGGAGGAGGAGGAGGGCGCGGCGGAGGAGCCCGTGGAGCAGGAGGAGGCCGCCGAGGTGGAGGAAGAGGAGCAGGAGGAGGAGGAGGAGGACGAGGCCATGAGGGTGGAGCGGGATGGGGGGGACAGCACTGCGGACATCGGGGGGAAGGGCCGCGGAGGCTGGCCCCTGCAGCAGTGCTCGGCCCCGGCCGACCTGGGCTACGAAGACCGGACGGACTCGTTTACGGACAGAACCAGCCTCGGCCTGCTGGGGCCCTCGCTGGAGGGCCGCATCTCCCTGGCCCGGGGCCCCAGGAAGCCCCGCTTCGGCTTCGGCCCCGACCTCCTCGCCGCCCCCCACACCTACCCGGAGCAGCGCCCGCTGAGGCGCCGGCCCCGCCCCCCCCCTCAGGAGCCCGGCGCCTCCGGCCTCACGGACCCGCTCTGGCCCCAGACGGCGGCGCTGCTGGGCCCGGCCGCCCGCCGCGGCCCCCGGCCCGCCCCCGCCGGCCGCCGGTGGGCCCGGAGGTGGCCCGGCCGGTCCAGGGAGCCGCAGGCCTACGTCCAGTCCGGCCACATGCAGAGCTACTGCTCCGACTGGAGGCCCGGGGTGGCCGTGCCTCACCTCCCCCGCGACGCCTCCATCTGAGGGGCCGACCCAAACCAAACCATCTCTATCATCACTTCACTCTGCCCCCCTGCCCCCACCCCCAGTCTACCCACCTTTGCCTTCAACAACACGTCTTTCTATGATAGTAGGTAGTTGTGGCTCCTGCAGTTGTTCTGTGATTATTGAATCTCCGTCAGAGAACTGGTACTCTCTGTCCGAAGTTGAAATGTTTCCAAATGTAAACTGGCCCACCAAACACAAGCCCCGCTCATAAACGCCGTAGGTAAATCCCTTCTCCATCCTCTCCATTGTAACCACTGGTCAATCTGAAGCCAGAGCTAGAACCGTCGGACTATAGGATGTATTCAGACAGAATGTGAAATAGTTCATAGAAGAGGCAATGTAGCATTCGGTGTGTGAAAAGACCACAAAGGACGAGAGCAGGCGGTTTCACGGCAGGTAGTGCAAATCCAGACTTTAGATGTTTCACACCAGGATAAAAGGAAAAAACAGAAGCTCCAGGGTTGTTTTAAAAACCAGACGCCTGGACATGTTTATAGCTAGTAGGATATTAATTATGTATTGGTAAATAAAGTCAAGTGAATTTAAAAAAAAAAAGTGCATTCAGTCTGAATAAGCGTTTAACTTTAATTTATGTGCCTGGTTGCTCTACGGTCCTTAGACAGAATTGTTTTTTTCATTTGGACAAACAGACACCCACGTGCTTGTTGAACTGCAGGGGGTTTGCTCCCATACGGCACAGCAGTAACTGCAACGTGGAAAATGGATATTTTGTTTGGCGTTCTCAGTTTATACTGTATATTAACCCTTAAAACGGATGTTTATAAAGATGTTAACTGCAAAATATTGGCCCTAACTGTTATCAACGAGCCTTACCTATGAAACAAAATAGGGTAAAAGACAGTCTCGTTTAAATGTTGTTGTAGCCGTACTGTATAATTAAGAATTACCTTCATCATCACTATAATATTCCTTATGCCAAAAGTACACGTTTAATTAGCCCATCAGCACACTTATCACCGAATCCAAGAGGAATGAAAGCCCCTTTTTACCAATACCATCAAAGAGAAACGTTAACGTTATCATTTTTATGTCATACTTAATATCAAGCAGGTAGAAACCCAGCGTGACTCATGAGCGAATCATATCTGTTTCTGATGTAGAGAACGATGAAAGACTGAGCATTATATCAGGCTCTAATCGCCCCGCCTGCCTTTCTGTCCCCTCCGCAGTCCTTTGGTGGCAGATGAATAACATCCACAGACGAGGCCGGAACAAATGTCGCTCTTGTTTTGTGGCTCTGAGAGCACACGTTGTTCTGCCCCCCTCCCCAGCAGGCAGTGACCCAGCAGTTATCCAGCCACAATTTGTCTACAGATAAAAGCACTTAGTGTCGGATTATAAAAGATTAGAATCCACTTACCTGAATACATGCCTGGTGTAGTCCAATATTCCAGAAGGGGATGGACTACTAATGTCGGTGCTGATGATTTTACAATTGACTTTCTACAGAGTCCACTGAAGGAAAATATGATTTTTTTTAGCAGGCGTGATTAAAAAACAAATTAATCTTGGTTTCAAAAGTTTGAAAAGTACAGAACATGTGCCTAAAATGACTAATTACTAACAAGAATAATGCATTCATTTCAACATTAAATTAAAAAACGGACATTCAGTTTGGTCATTTCATGACTGTTCCAGATTAAAGATATAATTATAAATCTTAAATCTTTATATATTTCTGATAAGTCTGAATGTGCATCCTGCACCTGAATAACTTAGCTGATATTTGGGTGGATATTTCTCTTGCTGTGTGCAGAGCTGTGCCTCCTAAGGAAGGGTTGCCATTCATTAGACATCAGGCCACATTTATGGTCTTCCAACTAAAAATTTACCAGCTTTGTGGTTTGTTAGAAATTACACATTGCTTTATATCAAAGATACAACACTAAGTTAAAGAATGTTTGTGGATTGGAACAGTAATGTTTCTTGAAAAGACTGAGTTATGTTAATAAACTGGCTATAACTGATATAATGGAGGATGGAGCCCTGGGTATCGCAGGGCTGATGTGAATATAACATCTGGAAACGAATGGGTTTTGCTAGCCATTATGACCATTCTATTCTGAAATTAAATTTCTCGGAAAATATTTTTCGTTTCAGTCAAGATTCCACATTCCTGCTTTGTTTACACATTTCAGTGAGCAAATTTCCTCCATTAAGTGGCGCTTTGCTTTAAAGCAAACATAATGCTGGCGTAGGAACAGAATACTTACAGTAATATCTCTAATACGGTACAGCTAAGACAATCCTGACTTGTGAAATGCGATTTACTGTTCTTGCTTTTAGTAGTGTTTCATTACAACAGTCAAAGGAAATCTGACAATCCCCGCAAATTGATTTCCCATTCGCTTTTAGCTCGTTTTTGTCACAAAATTAAGCATGTCAATTCTAATAACAACATTTTCCTCCCCAGCTTGCGTTGTTAGCGGCTATTCATGGTTAGCTATTTGAAAAAAAACATTTTAAAAAATGGCATAGGTACACGAATATCTATCACTAAATGCAGGTGGAGGTATTATGGCTGAATTTTAGCTGAATAAAAACCACTCCTAAAATGTAATTACTCAATTATATGCCTAATTATGTGCATAAAGAATGTAGATATGAGTTAAAGGTGCAGGATGAAATATTCATAGACTAACTCAAAATGCAAACAAGGGCACTAAATTCATTTCAGGTCCTGATTTCACATTTAAAAAAAGATTTATTTCTTGTTCACAAATGCCATGAAGAGAGCATTTTCCCAAATGTGTTGAAAAAATCCTTTCAAGTCCGTTCTTCATAGGTGAAGCGTTTTGTGTTACTGCTGTGATAACAGTGATATCAGAATGCGTTCAGCAGGTGTTTGAGCGGTCAGCAGCCACTGTGAGTGACCCGTGGAGGCCGGCTCCCAGGGACCAACCGGAGCCCTAAAGCTGGAGGAGCCTGTGCAGGGCCACAGGGCTTCAGTTGGTGCTCTCCAGTTCTATTATCCGATCACAGACACCGTTGGTAAGATTTCATTTGACTGAAACATAAACATATTAAACCCTGCTGTATTTAATTAATCCTAAAGTGTGCTCATTAAGAAAAAACTATGTAAACATAGAATTGTAATGGAAAAGGGTCCCAGACAGCTCTAAGCCACACACAAATGCAGCAGTCTGTACTGTGCCTGCAAATTCCTACAAATGTTGCCTGAAATGGTATTAGTAATAGTGTCATTTCTCCCAATTGAATGAAAATTCTGTCAATTTAATGAGGAATCAAGAAGCATAGTAAGATATCATAATGAGGGATGCAAGATTATAAACGCTATGAACTTACACACTAAAAAAAGCTTGCTCTAGGCTCTACCGACGACTAAAACCAACTTAGTTTTTACTGTTGGGGGATACCTTTTTTCTTTTCTTTTTTTGTTTGACAATAAGTTTTACACTTATTAAAAAAAACATGCTAGGAATGAGCTAAACATGTTTATTTTTATGTCAAGAATTCCCAGGTTAGCAGTATCGAGACCAGCAAAACTCTGCTCTGGAAGTCAGAAGGGATTAGGACATTTGGAAAACTTTCCACAAGGAGAAAGAGATTTGATTCCCACGTGGAGCCGATACTCCTCATGCTCTTTTAGCTTTCGGTTGATTTGGCTCGGTTTTAAAAACCAGGGCCGCAGTTTGGTTGCCTTTCCTCAAGAGTAACTAGTCCTTTAGGTTTTTTGAAACAAAGATTGAGACGGTGGTCGCCCTCCGTGGTGCTAACAGGGAACAGGGTTTGGCTGAAATAGGGTTTGTGGTCATTTCATGTAGTTCGGAGATAAGGTCCCCCCCACCACAATGAAATTCTTTTCCAGGTGTCAAAATGTGAAAATCACCACCAGGATTCCTCTCATTTTCACACTTTTTGAAACACTCACACAGTTGCATCCTATAAGATCTCATTTAGCCTTACCTACTAACATTTTCCACGCACAGTTTAATACATTCCTTGCAATTTTGTCTTGTGTTTTGGGGTTCAGAAAAAGACGATTAAGCAACGTTTAAGTTTTTTTTTTTCCCTTTTCTTTTTACTAAACGATGAGTTGGACACTTTAATTCTTTTCGTGGTATTGTGCTGGTGACGCCATATTGCTTGTTGAATTTCCAAATGTTTGAGAAAGAATCAACTTCTATACACTGCCCCCCCCCTAACCCCCACCCCCCCCCACCATCCCTCCTGCTGTTCATCCTGTGGACTGTCTTTGAGGAGCAACAATGGAACAGAATGTACCTCATGTCCCAGAATGTCATGAAGCCGATCGACGTGAGACATTGTTTTCATTTTGCTTTTTTTCTTTTTTTTTGGGGGGGGAGAGTCGTGTTTCTTGGGGGTGTCACTGTTGAGATCCCTTTTCTGGAGTCACTGCCACAG